GACCCTCCGACAGTACGGCGCTCCCTCAGCACTGATCCTCCGACAGTGCGGTGCTCCCTCAGTACTGACCCTCCGACAGTGCGGCGCTCCCTCAGCACTGATCCTCCGACAGTGCGGCACTCCCTCAGCACTGACCCTCCAACAGTGCGGCGCTCCCTCACCACTGACCCTCCGACAGTGCGGCGCTCCCTCAGTACTGACCCTCCGACAGTGCGGCGCTCCCTCACCACTGACTCTCCGACAGTGCGGTGCTCCCTCAGTACTGACTCTCTGACAGTGCAGCGCTTCCTTAGCACTGAAATTTGAAGGTTCTGCCTTGGAGTTAGCTTTGTACCACACAACCACAGACCTAAAGGTGAGAATGCTCCACATGCACTCACACTTACACCTTGACACACACACACACACACCACCACATACTCACACTCGTCCCTCCACACCCAGACCCACTCCGTTACCTTTGGAAAGACAACTGATCCCTCAGGTACAGCCCGCAGTGTAACTGCTGAAGTGTCGATGTCCCGCAGGTAATCGTAAAAACCAGGCTCTGTTGTTGGGGGCAGCACCTTCCGCAGGAAGTTGACGTCTGAGACAAAGAGCAGAAATGCACCATTACCAGGACGAGGAACGTGTTGCAGGATCCTCCCTTCTTCCAAATTTCAGGACCCATACAGAAGTGCCAAATTTCAGACAATCACAACGTTCATACCACAGGAGGAACGGTGCTGATTGATTGGAAAGTCATTTCTGGCTGAGGTATTGCCATGGTGAAGGTAAGGAAGACCTACAGGCTCCAGGATAATTCACCAAAAGACACAAGGCCTGGTCATTCCCTGACAACAATGTCGAGAGAATGACTCCCTCTCTCTGAGTGGACGTCACTTTGAGGAGTTACTTTGGAATTATTTCCGTTGAATTTCCTGTGAATGGTATCGGAGGCCGAAGGCAGCAAAGTCAAAGTGTGATCTGAGTGAAGAATTGAAATCACAGACAATCTGAAGTTTGTGTTCTGAGCTGAAGCAGTGTGTAAGGAGCTCACTCAATCTCCCTGTCATGTTCCAATTGATGTAGCGGTGCCGGTGTTGGACTGGGGTGGACAAGGTCAGAAGTCACACAGCACCAGGTTATACTCCAACAGGTTTATTTGAAATCACAAGTTTTCAGAGTGCTGTCTCTTCATCAGGTGCAGTGGTAGAGCAGAGCACACAGAAACAGAATTTATGGGCAGAGAGATCAAAAGATCATACAACTGGTGTGAGTGGAGTGTTGAATACTATGTCTCTGCAAGTGACCAAGAGTGTAAACTGCTGAATAACAAGTGAAGGATGATCTATAATCTGAATAAATGAGGCAGAGAGATAATTACAAAATATTAAAAATAAGGTGGTACTAGAGACAAACTAAATGACTGGAATAACATGACACTTTACTCACACTGTCTGACACTCTTGGTCACCTGTAGAGACATGTTATTCGACACGCCACTCACACCATTTGTATGATCTTTGATCTCTCTGCCTATAAATTCTATGTCTGTGTGCTTTCCTCTCACTTCACCTGACGAAGGGGCTACGCTCCGAAAGCTTGTGATTTCAAATAAACCGCTGGGCCATAACCTGGTGTCTTGTGCTTTCTGACCTTGTGCACATCATCACTAGTCTCAGGAAGAGAATATCAAAGAGGAATGATCCTTGAGTTGAAGCCCTTTGTCACATCCATCTTGTGCGGGGGTGGGGGTGGGCA